AAGGAGCCAGCCTGGCAGCTCTGAACACAGAATGCCTTTGTGAAAAAGCTTCATCCACACACTCATGCCAAGGTGTGCCTTCAATGCCAGGCAGTGAATGGCCGCAGAGATCAGAGCATCTCTCTGCCTGGAGGTGTTCTCTCTGCAGCAGAGGTGAGAAAAGTTTACAGACAGAAATATGTGTGGTAGTGCCACTGCTCAGACTTCTCTGAACACAAACAATGGACATCAGTCTCCAGGGCTGTCAGCTTACCACTCAAGCTGACATTAAACTCACTTTTTAAAAGAACATACTTCTGATTGATAGAAGAGTTTAACAAGGGCAAAACCAAGACTCCAGATGACCTAAGTGTGTGAAAAGAACAGAGGACACATTGTTCTTTTTCAAGAGTTACTTCAGAGTCTAAAAGACTAATAGCAAATGGATGAAAGCAAGGAATACATCAAAGGATATTTTCAATGTTTTTTGGTGCCACAGAGTTTCAGTAATAAGTGAGATGGCTAAGCTTGCATGAAAACAATGAAAGGGAAAACTTTAAAAATTGTAAGGAGAGATGCTTGTATTAAGTTTGAGTATCTAATTCTATCCTTTCTCAAAGCCTACAGTGTTTTCCCCAAGGAAATGTTATGGCTAGTCTAAGTACATCAGATTTCTGTGGTATAAGAAAGAGGATATCAGGATCAGATTCTTTATAAAATAATGATCTATAAGGCAATCCGTGACCTGATTCAGTAAAGCATGTTTTTATTGCACAGTCAAAAGAAAATTCTTGAGTTGTGGTCATAGGCAACTTGCTAAAGCCTTACAAATAGAAAAGACTGATTTCTAAATTTCTAAGATGTTGAAGAGTGATGGAAAAGAAGGAGCAGTGGTGAAGTTATCTGAAAAATGGCTGGTAAATTTTAAAGTATCAGAAGCTACAAAAGTAGAAGCAATTGCAGCACAGAGGAGTAATGGGAAGGGTGAAGAATGAGGGTTTTTTTTAAAAAACACCAACTGCCTTTACTTTGTGGTTAATCTGGAGATGAGAAAAATGATCAGCTCTTAGGGGTCCGTGCTTCTAATAAGGAAGTTATGAGACTGGCTAACATCACTGGTGAAATCTTATTGTACTTTGATAAAATTTTAAATGAAAAAACCAAACTAAAATCTCAGTTTCTATCAAACCAGGTTAAACATGACTCCTAAGGTCTCATCTTGTTAAGATCATTAAATTCATTACTAAGTTCCCTCATACTGTCTGAAAGTGATGGTAATCATAAATGAGAAGACTAGGAAGAGGAGCAGAGTTGATATCAGATTAAATCTATAAAGCTTCTCCATAAGATTGTCAAGGATAGTCCTTTTCAAGTACATGACATTTCTCTATTTTTTTTTTCTTCTTATGACTGTTTTTGTCATAATAGCACTTACTGGATAGAGTGAAGAAATTTGAACATTGCAATTTTTCATCTCCACAGTAATATTCCCACCATAGCAAACACTTTTCCCAAAAAAACCCATCTGAATACTGTCTTCCTACTTTTGCATATGCTAATAGAAGCTTCTACAAAAGCCCCCTTAATCTAAATGCTACCAGTTTACTAAATGCTCTCATGAGAGCACACATAACTACACAGTAAAACAGACTTGCACAAACAGTTACTAACACACAGGAACAGACAGTGGGGTAGCATTTCTCAAAAAAAAAAAAAAAAACGCTTCTCTTTCTTCTTGCTCCTGGTCTACAAACAACTCCTCCTCAGCCTATGACTACTGCCTATCTTCATTTCCCCTGGATTATTTCATTTGATAGCTAAATAAAATCAGAGAAACTCAGCTGATATTTAGCTTTTTTTGTCTATAATAGAGTTTATGGCCTGTATTTAACATTTGAAGGAATTGCGTGCCCAGAAGATTTTCTACACTTGCCTATTTATACAATAAAAAAGTTACCTCTAACTATAAATTATCTCCTAATCATGTCTGAAGATCAGCACAGCTGTAACCCTGAGAGGAGGAGTCCTTACCCCTCAAGCCAATAGGTCCCCAGGTCAAAAAGTTTTATTTTCCCAAAGAATAGTTTTATTTTCCCAAATACCAAACAGGGAGGAACCAATAATAATATAAAAACATTTGCAGTGTCTGCTTGACTTCTTGCCAATAGAGGGTTCTTGCTTTTTGGTTTTTTTTTTTTTTTTTGTAAATTATTCCAACTTTTGGCATTTTCAGTTTTATAATAACTCCTCTGATTCCCCCAGATTAATACATTACAATATGTTTTTCCTCTCACTAATAAGTAGTATTTTTCTTGGCACTTTATGTGTACAGGCATTTAAGCAACAAACATTTTTTGCTACTTGTTCTTGTCATGTTTGTTTCTCAATAAACTTAGAGCAACTGAAAAGCAAAAAGGCAAAATATCTACTTGCTATTAAAAATATTAGCACAAACAACAAGCTGTGTTAGCATAGCTGCTTTCATAACTTGCTATCAGAAGTTATGAAAAACTTAGCTGATGATTGTTAAATTATATTATATGATCCATACATGAATTGAAAGCAGATGTACTGAGAGCAAAAATTTCAGATTGATGTGCAAAAAGACATCTCACATGTTTTATTGTTCAGCAATGCACATTACACATATAAACATGCAGTCATTGTTAATGTGTATGGTTAAACACCTGTTTGTATTAGCTGTGATGCCAGTCTCCTGTCACCATACTGGAACAAGCAGGTCTTAGAAATTGTCTGGGGGATAGTGAAAGCCAAATCTGTAGCTGTCATTTCTTCTTTGACAGACCTATCACGAAGCTGCAATTAATTTCTTTTCCAACTGTTTAAACACAGAAAGGATTTTCCCTTCATACATGTAACCAATTACATGTAGGAAAAATATATTGTTCTTATAACCAGCACTGTATTGTGAATTTGCTGACCCACGGATTCATGTTTCAACATATATGAAGTCACATGTAGGACTTGAGTTTTTGTTATGCTTACCAACATGACATGAGGTTTATGAGGGGTTTTTTCCAATATTTACTACTCTTAGAGTATTAATTAGAATCTAAGTTAGCCTTAAGAGTGCTCAGGTCATTCAGTCCTGCAAAACAGTCACAGAAAGGTTTTATTAACAATGGCAAAATTTCCTATTTTTAATAAAAGCATAATACACCTCAGATAAATTTTATTTAAACAGGTGTTCTCCAAAACCAAGCGTACAGTTAATAACCTTACAGCCTTTAAGAAACAGAAGCAGGCCCTTGTTGACTCTGCTCTTCCAGGAAAGGAGGAAGCCATCACTAATCTCTCACATTTCTACCATTGCCCCTAGATGAAGTCTAAAAAAGCATAACATTTTTGCAATATTAAGGGCAAAAGACAGTTCTTTGGTGAAGGAACTGAGAAAAAGTGATACCTGTAGCACAGGTAAGGGTGATTAATTCAGTCTCAGTGACAAACCTGCACTCCTGTGCCAAGACTCTCACTGTTTTGAGGAATTTGACAGAAAGCAAACATATATGCATTCTGTCCCTTCATCTCACAGTTTGCCAGTCGGTTTCTAACACCCAGATTTTCATTTCTTCAAAGAAAAAGAAAGATTAGCACACTACCAAGTTAAGGGCAAACACTAAGTCACACATAGTAGAATATAACATTCATGTCTTATTATTATTTCACATATAAAACTTTAAAGTGTTATCTAAAATAACACACATGGTTACCAGACAAAATAGCCCATATAAACTATGCTGAAAATATCATCTTTATTTACAGGAACCTAATGAAAAAGAACTTTAATTGTGTTTGAGGTCTGCAACAACCTCCTGTGTCAGAGTTAGGCCCCAGCCTGGATTATTCTGCTGGGCAGAGCTCTAAGGAGGAAGATGCCCCTGGCCTTGCAGGGATGTGGCTCAGCTGCTGCTAGAAGGGGTGGGAAGCAGCTTGCAAACTTTCACTCCTTGCTCAGGTGTGATGTCCTGTTACCCACCCCAACCTTCAGACTTTACAGTGACGTGCAACCTTGGTTCAAGTGAACTCTAAATCTGCTCTTGATTGTGTTCTGCCTACACATTATAAAAAAAAAAAAAGGAAAGAAATCTTAACCTTTCTGTTTGAGCTTCTACATATATAGCATTATCATCTTCTAGTACTGCTGGTAACCACAGCTACAGGTAATAAGCAAAAAGAAAAACAGAAATAAATGGCATTATTTTATAGGCACTTCTAGAACCATGTAATTCACTCTGTAGTTAATTTGCTCAATTCCAATATCTACTTTACAGAAAATAAAACAACTGCCTTGGGTTGTATAAAAATGCTGCCTTTGAGAGCTATGAAATCCCACTCTGCTTTACCAAGCATGAATTAGATGCCAGAAGAATGATGCCTTGCAAACAGAGCACCCAGTATGCAGAGAACCGGCCCTCACAGAGCCCTTGTATCAGCACCACCAGCACTTGTTCTGTCCTGATTTAATGAAAACATTGTGCTTCAAAAGAAACAGCTAATCAGATAATCACATTATCACACAGATTTTGGAGCAGCTAAGCTCTCAGAAAAATCATTGAATAAGACAACAGGATTACAGCTTTAATGGCTACACGTTGTATTTGTCACAAAGCATGGACAACATTCACACTGAGGCTGCAAGATTATTACATGGTTACCTGTGCTCTATAAAATAGAGGTGTCACTCTTAACAGATTTTGAAATGGTACTGCAGTATGAGGTATTATTAGGATGTCATTTTTATTATTATTTATCATTACCTATAACCAAGACATTAGTACTTCAGTGTAAACACTGCAAAACCTATACGTGATCGAACAGATGAGATAGTGACAGATTTAAACATTTTGGATCTGTTGTCTATCCACAAGATCTAGAAATAAGGCATATGGTCAGCAGAATAGGAGTTTCAATAAACAGCCCGAGCGCTTTGCTTTCCTCCCACACACCTTAACTCTGCCAGTCATGCTGCTGGATCCCTCAAATCCCATATCTTGAGGAGGTCATACCTGAGGATGGCCGTTAGCTGGCTGAAACATCATTCTTTTAGTTTTTTCACTTTCCTGTGTACAAAGGAAAAAAACAATGAATAGCTAAAGGGCTTAATCTTTTTACAAACCTTGACAGAGCTCTCTGCTAGGAAGATAACTGCGCAGCCTGAGAGGCTTCATTTGCTCCTGCTCGCACATTTATACACATCTGACACTTTATTCCACTCAAGGGACGGTGACATAACATAGTAAAACTGATCATATATCCGTGATAGAAGCTTGACAGCTCTCCCAGACAGCCCTGCCAAAACTTCCCATCAGTGGCTGTAAACAGAGTTAGCAGGGAGGCCACTTAGCAACCAAGAGCTTTTGCTTTTGCAATCTTACAGCGTGACGCCGTTTCCTTTTGGGCTGCACGCACTCCTGCCCGTACGATGGCCACTGGAAATCCTGGGATGGCACTGGGCTGTTCTGGCTCTCCACATCTTCAGAATCGGAGTCATCCTGCTGCATTGAAGGGAAATGCCTGTCTGGATAGATCTCTCTCAGTTTGTCCTCAAAGAACTCATCCAGGCATCGTCCAGCCTCAGCCACCTCGGAATCTGGCTGTGAGGGAATGAATAACTGTTCAGTGTTACCACACACATTTAGGATCAAACCCACATAACTACCCCACCCCAGCATCTCTCCTTGGCTCTGTCTGCTACATCTCCATTAGCCTCTGCACACTTTCTGCAGCCCATTAGTCCCTCTGCATTTCCAGTGTAAGTAAAAACCAGATGCTGCTGTTAAGGAACACATTTGTGCACCTCTAAGAACTAGAGACGTGCAGTGAACTAGAAAGATCAGCAGTCATCACTGCTTAGGAATTTCTGTGCAGTTTATTTTCCCTAGGTATTTTGCTGGCTGTGACTGGCTTCTCACAGTAAACACAGCAACATTCCATACAGCTGTCTGTGAAGATGCCCCTCTTTAATTTTAGATCCATATTTATCTCAAGTTCTCAGACACCTATATCATACAAACTTCATTCCTGTCATTAAAAAAAAAACCCTGACAGAACTTCCAATGAATAAAACTGATTAATACTGCTGTTCATCCCAATCCTACATCTGACTTCCATGGAACCAGTAGCTGCACCAGTGTGACAGCCACTGCAAGAGCCAGCCCCTGCTTTGTCTCCCCCGTCCCATGCATTTTAGAAACATACATAATTGAACTTTGCACAGTTCCAAAACATGAGACGCACGTCAGTCACAAGTTCCTCAGGTGCAGAGTAGTGGGACTTGTCCTTTTTTTGCAGCTTCCTTCGTATGGTGGACAAATCCATTGGCCTTTTGATGATCTGATAATAATGCCGAGCCTGCAATAAGAATAAAAGGCAGTATGAGACATTTTTAATTAAAACATTTCCTCTCCAGTGACTTCTTTGCAATTTTGGATAGAAGTCATTGCAGAGGAGTCCTTGCACCAGGTAGAGAGCTCTAATCTTTTAGTACCTACACTGGCACATCATCTTCCTGGGTGCTTTTTGATTTGATTAAAACCTATTTGTTTTCAAGGTTGGTCCTAAAAATAGCACACTTCAGTGACTACTCTGCTGCTGGCATTTCATAAAGTTTATCCCCAGATAACCATAACCCAAATTTAACCATGATCAATAATATATGTAACATTGATAACTAGCTGACATGTTGCCCAAGAATTACAAAAAGAATGTGCTGTGATACTTTTAGCTGATAACGTGGGAAGAAGCCTGTCAAGAGTGACTCAATATAGGATACTGTGCACTCTTTTAAAAATTCAACAAAAGCTTTTTTCAATGGGCATCAGCTACCAGGATATCCCACTTCTTAAATCTTTCAGGGTCTAAACCTACTTGTTAGGTAATTTGTTCCATAAGTTCATTACAAGCTTTATTAGGTGGAATGGGCTTGTATCATTAGCTGAACTACTCCTTCACTTAAAACCTTTATTTTCCTCCTCTTCAACTTTCAGCACATGGTGCTCCACTGTTACAACAGTGTGAGTCGCCACCTTCCTTAAAGCAGACCATTAATATTGCAAATTAACTTAATTAATTGTGGAGTGGATGGATGAAGCACATATCTCTACATCTTCCCCTGCACACAGCCACATTTACCCTCTGCACACAGCACAAGAAAAGAGGGAGATCAGGGTTGCTTCTGGAGCAGACCTCTCTTATGACAGCACAAGATTCTCCATGTACATGGCAAGTCAACCCTTTTAATCCCTGGAACCCCTCATACACCTTTGCCATTCTTCCAGCTTCTTAAATTGGCACTCAGACATGGCCTGAGCACTGGCCAAACATTTCCCTGCCTCTGGCCTGACACCTTTAAGGCACTTGGAAGAGGCAAACACCCACCATTCCCTAGGAAGCAACACTGATTAGAAAAAAACCCCTCCTGAATACCTTTCAAGAAGACAAAGAAGAAGCTTGTGATGTTCTCTGGATTCTCTCAGATCCCTGTCCATGCAGTACTTACCAGGGGACTGACAGGTTCATGGAATGGGAGGCTCATACTGCTGCAGAACAGGGAGAGCACCAGCTTTTCACACTTCTGTGGAAGCCAAAATTGTAATAAATTTTAATTCAAAACAAGGGCGTTTCATTCTTGCCCTTAGTTAATCAATCATACTAAAAAAAAAGAGAATTCTCAGATTAATTTGTGATGCAAATTGGCACACTTAACTCTAGTCAGGGGGACGTTTTGCCTCATAGCATTGTTGTACCTTGGAAAATAAGGATAGTCAAGAAATGCAAGAAATTAAATACTTTCCTGGAAATTCTTGGGAATTAATCAGTATCATTATTTACTTTGTGTGCTCCAGATCTATTCCTTGGCTCTCAACTGAGAGAACAGCAGCAACAATGTGGAAAGAGTTAAATGTGCACTGTTTCCCACTGCTCATATCCATTCATGCAAACGGATGTAAGTTGGTAGCACTGTATGAAAACTATTCCCTTTAATCATCATTAACTTGAAAAACACTTATACTAGTGTTTAGCTCATTTATTAGTGAAAAAAATGTACTACATAAACTTTATAAGCCATATTTTCTCAAAAACAATGGAATTTTTAATCAAGTCGATTTTCTAAATAGGACTTCACTATTCAGGACCTAAAATCCCAATAATTTTTGCCCAGTTGTATCAAATTCAGTAGAAATAGGACCAGCTCATCTTCTGCACTCAGTTGTGTTGACTCCTCCTCTCTATCCAGTTAACACCAATACACACACAACACCTATTTTAAATTTGTGCCTTCCAAATACTATGGACTTTAATAAAAGGTGCTTATTTAATGGAAGATTTGGTAGAGAAAACTAGTAATAGATATGTAAATTGATAAGCTTTCCTCTAGGCTGAGTTAACAGACTAAATATCTTCAAGGGAACTAATGGGACATATGAAGAAGACTGAATAATGATTTCAGTCCAACTGAAAGTCAGAAAGTGTCTTCATCACCAAAATGTCATTGCACTAACCCAAGAAAGTGTCTGAGAAGGTGCCAAGTTTTAAAGGAAAAAGAGTCAGTGTCACAAACCAGGCAACACTGACTCATTCTTACAAGCTCTGTTCTTGAGTGTAACTTCCCTGTTCAAAATAAAAAAGAATTTCCACATCTGCCTGCTTCATCTTTCTGTAACATCTTTAAAATGAAGAGCAAAGTCTAGAAAGAAGACCAAATAATATATAAAATAATATATAACCAAATGAAAACAATGTTTTTGTTGTATTTACTACTGTGTGCAACATTTGAGTAGCAGCCAGGTGAAAACCATAATCTGTCTCACGAAAAAGCAAAGCCTCATGCTGAGATCATATGGCCTATTCTAAATAGTGCAATATATTTTATAATGTATATAATTCCCACCTTCTGGTCACAGTCACCAAGGCCATACTGGGCATTGTAGCTGTGGCTGTAGCGTGTGTTCTCACAGTCATACTCCACCTCCGGCTTCACTGGGTTACGGCAAAGCGAGCACACCCATTCTCCCCTGCAAAAAGAAAAGAAAGAAACCAAAACACTCATGGGGAATTTTTTTCCACACCCTTGTCAAACAGTGAATCCCAGAAATCACTATTTGGAAAGCCTCATCCTTAACTAGCATCATTATAGCAGGCAATCTGAAGTCCATTGTACTAGATATTCTTCACTGGATTTGAATCCACTTAGAAGTATAATCATTTCAGGTTCTCTTCTGTTCTTTTCCTGTTACAAAGGAAAAGTATAAAACTGTGTTTGGAATAATCTACCAGCAGTGTATGCATCTGCACTCATTCAAGTTCTACCTTGAAAAAAAAACACTAAGGAAAAACAGGCTCAGGAAAAACTGGTTCATAAGACAAACCCAGACCCTTTTGATAACTGAGAGAGTTATTATCAATTGATACAATAATTGACATATTTATTTAAGAAATAAACATTATCAGAAAAGGTGTGATAATAACACAGTTCCCCAAACCAGACATAGTCCTGCAAGGGCATGTGTGCCCATGCTAGTAGATGCATTTTCAGAAACCTCTTGAAGAATTTTGTGAAGGCAGTGATGCAACTTCTACAACATCTGGGTCTGAATAGCTACAGATGAAGATATATTCAAGAATTATGAACACAAAACTTTAGTTAAGGGAATTAATTTACTTCATTAGAGTTTAACTTTGCCTATAAAGTCTATTCTAACAGGAAAACTTGGTTTTCACACTGTTTTGAAACTAGAAGGTAATAATAACTCCACTACTAGGGAAAAGAATGAAAAGCCAAGAGTTGAAAAGTCCTGACTTTTGAACAGAAAGGAGAAACCAGAATCTCCAAATTAATACCTTACAACATGTTTTTCTCAGCTGAGACAATGATTTGAGCTTGACTCAAATGAAGTAGACTTTGGTTCCACTTAGTAATGAATTATATCAAAATTAGAATTGCTTCTCACAGTAATGCACATTATTCAGTCTCACCATTAAGTTCGGTACATGGACATGTGTCTATTTCTGGTTCATTGCATACAATCCATCTGAGACAAGTTGCAAGAGAACCTATCTTAGGGAAAGTAATGACTGAAACCTTTCCACAAAAGCTCTGATAATCCTACATTTCCCATAAAATTTGCTAACAAACTGAATAAAAACTCAATGATTGCCCTTTCCTTGTGCTAGTCTCTGTTCTGCCAAGAAGAGCTGATGTCTACACTCCAGATGCTACATGAGAGTTAGGTTTTTATTTTTGTCCAGTGAGTCACGTGAAAGTTTTTTAAGTTCAGGGTGTGCCACCTCCCTTGCGGTACTGGCCAGTTAATTGCAGAAAGGGCACAGTGACAGGAAAGTTCTTTTCCATAATTCATCTATTCCTCACATGTAAGACAGAAAAAGTATCAAAAAAGGCAAGCAAGAGATGCAGCCCTTGCATAAGCCTGAAACATCAATCCCTGAGGATATCTTCTGCCCCCAGGCAGTGAGCAGGAACAGCACAGTAGTGAAATGTCATCCATACTCACACTGGAAAGCTGAGCAGGGCTGGAACATGGCAGGAGAGGTGGAAGACCTTGGGGCAGTGATCACAGCACAACAGTTCTCCTCCATTAAGACACACAGCACAGAAATCCTCATTTTCAATTGGACTGACTTCCTGAGTAACTGGGGATTTTTTCACACTGGAGATGCCATTGCTGAGCTTCTGATCAACAGATGGAGATTGTGTCTGTCCTGCAGCCTGGGAGATGAGAAACCTCCCATCCTCTGAGTTCTCCTCTTTGGATTTCTGTCCTTCAGCTGGACTGTCTTTATTTATCTTGAAGGAAGAAAAATCTGGGATCACACAATCATCATTTTCACACATCAGCATAAAGCATCACTATGCATCACTGGTCATCTGCAGATAACCAAGTACTTCTCGTACTTGGAAGACACAACTACCAACAATTTTCCAACAAGTGCTTCCAAGTACTTCTCTGCAGTGAACTCTGCTGGGGTTCGGGAGGTCCAGACTCTTGGCATTTGCCGCTGGCTGGCCAGGTCACCTTGGTCATGTCATTTCCTCCACATAGCAGAGTGTAGTAGCACCGTGAGAGAGCTGTGCAGATTCTACACCACAGGTGATAGAAATAGGATATTCTACAATCTCACGTGCAAATTTTATGGTAAACCGCTCAAGCCCCCCACTATCCCCCCCCCAAAAAAAAAACACCCAAAAGTATAAAAAAGTATAGGTCTTTTTCCCACCAAAAATTCCTGTTGCCTTCTGTGGAAAGAAGTTCACACCCAAGACTCCACTGAAGCAATAGAATACAAAGCTTTTAAAAATCTATCACCCTGTGATTTCTGGGATCAGTTCCTACCACTCAAATACATATTCAAGGCAATTTTGAGCTATTTGTCCTCAATTTGTAACCAGACAGGTGAGCCAAGTTGCTCCTTAGTATAGGAAAACACTACAAACTTTCAGAAATGGAAGATGGAAGGAGCTCCACAGCAAGCTCAAAGCTGTAATGTCTTTACCACAACCCATCACAGAAGTTCTTTTACCATACAATATTCCAGAAACTGTGCCTATAAACCAGTGGGATAAAGGGCAGGAGGCAGGTAAATCCTCAAGGAAACCCCACTCACCTTTATGGACATGCTTGAGGAGCGTGTGCCGCACTCAATGACCAGCAGGAAGTTGCCCTCCTGCTCGTTGTCCTGTGGCTGGAGCTTGAACACCGGCAGCTGCCCCACTTCCGAGGCGGATATCTTCAGACGTTCCAGTCGCACGTAGGGCACCCTCTGCTCCTTTGGGGCAGCTCTGGAGTCAAAAGGACGCGTGATTAAATTCATCCACATCCCACAGAATTCCCCTCCCTACCCTGTTTCATGCACCATTGTTTGTGCTCCTTTTACTCTGTGACTCTGGTGGCCAAATGCTGAAAATCTTGATATTTTTTCACAAACCAATTCTTTAAGAAATGTGAATGCAGTCACTTTAAATTAATCATGTGTGTAAAAACATTACTAACTCCTGTGCTAAAGCTTTGCCCCGCTCTGTGTATTCTTAATTACCACAATTAAAGTAATATTTTCTAAATTAAAGTAATATTTTCAGTGTGGCTGGTTTCAACAGGAACACAGCACATCATCAACTTTACCATATTATCACAGCAGTGGCTGAAAATCAAATTTTATAAAACTCTTCAGGTAATGTTAATCCTGTTCCCATAATATCTTTTAGTTTTCTTTGGGGCTTAACACTTTCTAATTGTTCAATTGAGATAAGTTTGCAAGTGTTTATTCATTCTGGAAAATTACACAGAAATACATGAATTCACCACTTCGTTTCCATTGCTGTTTTCAAGTTGGAGAGCACTTCACAACTTTCAGAACTAATACCTATAAGGAATCTAGAACTCTTTTAAGTTCTCCATCACCATTAAGTATGACAAATTTTCTAAATACATGCATAAAATTTCACAGCCAGTGCTTTTGTACAAAAAAAGACTCTGCTACCTGACATTCTGATTGCTTTTCATATCCATTTCAAAATGTTCCTTTTCACAGTTATTGGAATCTGGAACAGAAGATAAGAAAATGAATAAAATATTTATAATATCACAGGCAGATTAGGGTAGAAAGTACTTCAATATTCATGTACTTCTGACTGGTGTTTAATATGATATCATAAGTGAAATATGGAATAATTTCATCTATATGTATAGAAAATGTGCATGCTATTTTCTCTTCTGGTGGAGAGCCTTTGTCTTTCTTTTTTACTTTTAACCACAGCTTCTGTTCTAAATACAAGGAGCATATATTAAATATTTTGTGAAAATGGTTTCTTTCCCAGGGAATTATATATGTACGCAGCCATATCACACACATCCATATACATGGAACAACACAAGTAATCCTCTTTGCCATACAGCCTTCACTTGAGAATAACAGACCCAACGAGGTCTGAACCCCCAGGGCTCAGGAAATCTTTGTGATCTCCAGCTCCATGCTAAGCAGCTTCTGGATAATTCCAGTTACTTGAAAACAGGAAGCAAATTGTGCCTCCCATCTGCCACCACAGGACAAAAGTTACACTACAATTCCTTTCTTTCCTCCAGTGTCTGGAACATATAACACATGAACTCAAAACTATCTGCTATTTATTTAGCTGTAGCTCTATGTCAGTCAGCATATGGCTGTGGTTTTGACTGACATTAAACATAAGTCATAACACACTTCTGGGGAGATGGGCTAGGATAGAGACAAGTGTCTCTGTGGATGCCCTCAGAAATACAAGTCCACTGAAAAATTTCGTTTTCTCACCTTTTGTTAGGAATTAGTTTGACACAGCCAACACAAACAAGAAACAAACACAATATCATGGTTACCTCAAGATAACAGAGGGCCAGGAAAAGATGATTTTTAAAATAAAATCTAGCTCAGGTCAACGGTTCCTGCCACAAGGAAGAATAAAATGAAGACTAACAAGGAAAGGTGCATTTCACATCACATCTAAGGCATTATTCACTTGTGATTGCTGCTCAGGTGAAGGGTGGGTAGCCCTGTCATGGACAGAATTACTAAAGGAAAACTGCACACCAAGCTGAAGGAGCAGCTCTCCCTGCACACTGTCAAAGCAGAGGATGTGCCAGTGGTGCTGGCTTCCTACATTAACCAACACTTCCATCAGCAACTGGGCCCATCAAACAATAGTGCATGTAAAATTCATGGGAATTTTGAGGGGGTTGCACCATGGAGAATGTTTTCAGTTAAAAATAGACCTTAGTGCATCAGAGGAAAAAATCTCCTAAATCAGTAGGACTGAATTGAGGTAACTGTGCTCATGAAGGGTCAGATGAATGTCAGCCCAAAGGAAAACAACTGGCTAGGAAAATGTTCTTGAAACGAATTAAGGGTTAAAGTGAGCTGCACTCTACACAGTCAACCACCTAATGCTGCTGCTGCAGAAGGGAGGAATGCCATCCTGCAGGGTATCACCAGCAGCAAGGAATGTAAAACACAAGGAGCTGATGCTCTGATTCTGCATGGCATCCCAGAGGCCTCAGCTGAGCACTGCATTTGGCTGTGGGCAGCACTCCTTAATTGCACAGAACTCAAAATAGCACAGAGGAATGAGGTGGTTCTGAAAAAATTAAACCCCTGACCCATGAGGAGAGGCTGAAACCATCAGATTTGTTTAGTCTAGGAAAGAGAAGAGGAAGGAAGGGTGTTTATGCAAGTCATAAGAACGAAAAGTGGCTGTAAGAGGGAAAATGATCACAACTCTGTACAATTTTTACCACATCCCGTACGCCTAGGATAAGAATTATTTTGTTTTAAATTAGGCTGAAATGTTTAGGTTCGCTATTAGAAAAGGATGAGTCACTGGAGACATATACCAGAAGGAACGAGGCTTGGCAGCACAGCAATGCTGAAGCCAGCAAGTCCTACCCAGAGCCACCAGCAGAGTTAACATCGCCTTTGCAGCAGAATTCGTGTTTATGGTGCACTGGTGACTGTATCTCCTCAGGTCTCCCCTCACTGCATGCCCCTAAACACTGACAGGACAGGAAATGCTCGCTCCTGGTCCTTCCTTGTGAAAAGAGAGCAGCACTGAATTCAACACTCAAGGTTTTTCAGTCTCTTGCACAACAGGGCCTGCATTTTATACCCAGCAAGTCTGTAGCATCCACTACTGACCGTGAGATTCTGAAGGCTGGGGCTGCCTCTGTGTGGGGTGTCACACAAGCCACACCAGATACCACATTGCTGCTCCTCCCCAAGACACTTCAGCCTGCCTGAGGCACAGCATTTTAGGGGTGCTCCTGATTCTTACAACTCACACAAATGATTGTGGCATAATTGCCACGATTTGGCATAGGACATCAAAGAGAAGACAAATACATTTCCTTGGCTCACCGGGCTAGGCCTCCTTTGTACTAATTAGAATTCTCTGAATAAAAATACAGCAGAGAGAGAGAAATATTAATTCATCTTTTATAGAGAAATGCAGCCAAACATTGGCATAAGTCATGGGATAACAGCTTGATCCTGCAATCCCTTGCTTGCATGAATAGCCCCATTGACTTTCAGAGTTTGCAGGAATGAGACTTTAGAGTGTAGCACAACTATGTTGGCAATTTGCCCATGAAAAGAATTAAGTAAAGTCTAATTCTCCATTAGGGCTGAAGAAATAGGCCTTGGCTGAAGGGAATGTTCCACAGTAGACAGAGCCAAGCAAAGGCACATGCTGTGCAATGTGTTAACAAAAATTTGGTATGCTACTGATGTGAAGGACTTAGCAAAAGCCACATTACATTTTGGAAGTAACGTGGGTTTTTTAATTGAATTTGGACTCTTCAAACCAGCTCTTCAATAGTCATAACTGCAGGTCTCGTTAACAGGAGTGCTTCTAAGAGAACTAATACTCCAGGTACTTCACACAGTCACACTCGTTTCTGGTTCACAGATGAGGGATGTTACAAATTCAAAGCGTATCATCTCCATGTTTTTCCCCCACAAATGAGATCAAACACACTTTTCCACTGGATTAAGTACTCTGATAACAATTTGAAGCTTGCTGGAAAAGCACATTTACATGTAAGTATATTAATAAGCATACTGCTTTACCACGCTTGCAATGCACAGTGCTAAGAAAGAAAAAAACCCCAAAACCTGAAGGAAATAATTAAAAGCCTGGTACCTTCTTCGCTTCTAGGTTGTCTCGTTCTGGCATTCACAGGCAGGAAAGAAGTGTTGCTGAGCAGTTCAGAAGGAGAAGTGCAATGTTGAGACTTTTTGATTGAAAGATTAATAGGTTCTTCCATCACTTTTTGCATAGAAAGAGTTAATTCATTAACTACCTCTTGCCCAGCAGTAGCCAAGTTGTTTTCTAGAAGACAATCCACAGCACTGAAGTCTTCATTTTCCAGCTGTGAGGGGTGGGAGAGAAAGAAATGCAGAATTCTATTATGAGTTTTCCTTCTTTTCATGTTAAGAATATAATTTGTAATCAATCTTCAAACACCAGCTAAGGAAAACTTCACTAATTGAAACAGTATTTTGAGTGATTGACCAACAATAATGTGCTGTAAATGGAAGTGGATTCCCTCTCAGCAGAGGAGTTTGAGCCATCCCTACCTTGCATTTAGTGCCTCCCTGGAGTGCATCACCTGGGCTGAGGCCAGCAGGAGCCCCAGGGCTCGGGTCACTGGGAGCCCTGCCCAGAGCCAGGCTGTAGCTGGGCAGGGGCTCTGGTGCAGTGTCACACTCACAGACAGCATTTGGGGACAGGCCAAGTGTCACAGCAGCTGCACCTTTCACCTCTGGGTCGGCCGAGCTGGATAACCTCGGTGGAGACAATTCCATTTCTGTGCTGTTTGGAAAGCCCACAAAGCTTAGGGATGCTGAATGCTGGGAAAAAGAAAAAGAAGAAAAAAACCAATATATTAATAAGCTCTTCAGCAGCAAAATGCTACTGTTCTTTCTATAACAGATGAGATGCTCAATTTCAGCTTGACATAATCAAACAGTTGTGTCACAAGGGCTGTAAGAATCTATTGTAATCCTATGCTTTTTTCCCAAAAGCTTTAGATTCTCCACCATTAAAACTGAAAACTGGAAAAGGAGACAACTGAGTTACTCTTCTGGTGATTACAAAAAAATGTCTTCCTTAGATCAATTCAAGGGATTCTGATTTTTAACTCCTACCTAGAACACTGTACCAAATTAATCCTTGACATAAACCCAATCATTTCCCTTAAAATTTTCCCAGAAGAAATAAGATTCAAATCAGAAATTTTGTCATTTTATTAAAAGAACATCAGATCATTCAGAAAGAATATTCAGAAGAAATAAGATTTAACTCTGACTTCAGTACATGAAGTTATTTTTCCTGTTAATGATGCTGAAATCTTTCTATGATAGTTGAGTCGGCCCCATCAAAACCTGAAGCACTTTCCCTTTAAATAACATAGATTAAATGCAGAAATATCTACAGGTACTAATGAGGAAACACATCCAGTTTCCAAAGAAAGGGAATGTTTACCAAAGCATCAATATGCAATTTTTACTGTCTCATGATTTGTCACTACCAAACCCACAGAGACACTGTTACACAAACCAAAGCACCCCCACTGATCTGGGTGACTTCCTTAAGCTGCCTCACATCCTGGAATGTGGGACTGCATTGGAAACAAGACCCTTCAAGCATCCATGTGAAGCAAACAGAAGCAATTTTACGAAGTGATCTGTGTCACTTGAATACAAAACTTTCCCTTGATTTCATCATAGTTCATTGGTGCTTCACCCTTTACACTACTATATCCTTTTCATATCCTTCATTTGCAATACAGTAGGTAGCACTCATTTTAATATAAATCAAGCCAATAGAGACATGTCCATTGCATCTGAATTAGAGTTTAAATTTATGGTTGTACTTATTTCTCCACTAGAGGCCTGTGACTCAGAAGTGAATCTGAGATAGGATCCATTTCCTAAATTTAATTAGTATTTTTCTCAACACACACTCCATTTGGGATTTTGATAATTTTGTCCATCTTAACCCCACAGTGGTAAAGACTGCAGCCTAGCCTGAGCTGTCAGATGTGTCTGTGTAAATCCTGCCTCCTGCCAGGCTTGAATTCCTCTGCTTGCAATGCACAGCAGCTCTGTGCTAAGACAACACTGCCCACAGACCCTAATTCCCACCCAACAATGGATGAGATTTAATTTCCTCTTTGTCAACTTGCAATAGATGCTATGATGGGAGCTTTGCCTGAAGAGTGACCACTTAATCTGATGAGACAAAATACGCCTGCACTTGAGACAGAAAGAGGTCAGCTCTTGTGCAGAGCCAGGGGAGGTTTGTGCCATTCCGCCACACAGAGCTGCAGTGAGCCTGCTCTAAACTGTCCCTCCATGCTGAAGGCACCCCAAGGAACACTGGGTTCCTGCAGCCAGGGAATTGGTCATTCTCCCCCTCTTGAGTCCAATGGACACCCCTGAATATAAGTTCTTTGAGCTGTAACAGCTTTTTTGGAAGCTGCTGGAACTAGTCACACACGTTTTTCCCACGTTACATTTGAGTAGAAAACTAGAGCACAGCCAATAAGGAAATGCACCAGAGGAGGCCCAAACTCGCCATATAGTCTGTCTGATAGAGCATTCCTAAGAACGCTGAAGTTTCAAACCAAAGTTATCTCCATAGGTCAGCAAGGAATCCACTTTTCAAGGCCACACAACCCAAAGTCCACAAAGATCAAAAATGTTTATTTGCTACTTCAACTTGCTTGAAACAGGTTCCTGCAATTACAGTGACAAATGGGACCTACCAAATTGATTTTCCTTCATTCCATCACTCACTTTATCACAAGTTCTTTTTAAGATGGCAAAATTAACACGTGAATTGTTCCCATACCACTCACAAAAAACTAAAACAAACAAGCAGAATTCATGTTCAAGCTGAAGACGAACTGTAATCAGCCCTTGCCTTTTCCCTTATTTCAAAGTCCACTGTGAGCATTAATTAAGCCCCTGTGAGGTAGCTAAATATTTATTTAGTGAGGTTCTCCACAGCATGGAACATCCACAAATTGGAGTCCATAGGAAGTACCCTACAGGTGTATTCCATTGGGGATGGCCATGCTGAGGTATACCCATGGCAGGGGCACACCACCTAAATTTGCTCCCAATTAACTGGAGACCTGGCCATTCAGCTCCTCCAATCACTACCCACACCTTCCTTGACTCATTTACAAGCACGTGCCACCATCTCCTGTAGCGAGACCTGGCCCTCTGTGTGCAGCTCAGGTGAAATGTTCCCCCTCCTGAGGAAATTCAGGTTTACTCCTGGCTCCAGTGAGACAAGTTTACTTACTGGGAGCAGTCACTGGGATGACTCCTACTGAAGGAAAAAAAAAAAAAAAATGGAGACACGCATAAGATTTTCAGAAATGTGAAATTCAGTTGCATGGTGTGGCTGTCCTTTTTACTCTTCTAGCTAGCATCAGTTTCTTCAGAGATCTTTTCAGATTATACAAGCCAATGTAAAACCTTACTCTTGTTAAAAAGAATAATGAGGCCATCAAACTGCCATCTGTCTTTCCCTTGGGGCAAAAGTTAATTTTGTGGTTATTTTAATGATGAAGCAACATTATGATCTTTCAGTGCAAAATATTAAAACTCACAGTTAAGAACAGACACATTCCGTCCTGATCCATAGAGCTGCTGTCAAGTGTGAAGTGAACAATGCACTGGGAACAAGGCTCATTAATAGACTATTAATTCACTCCCTAAAATAATCATTTCTTTTGCCATTAGCAAAAATTTCTCTTTTCCCTTGACAGTTCAGCTAGATTTTGCAAATGGGACACCTTTAAAGGATTTATCTGTTTTATAAAAGCTCTATTGCTTTTACATTGCAACATTTGAACAACAACAAGCATTAATTATGCTCTTGAGCAGAGGGTGGCTTCAGCTGTTGGTTAATTTTAAACTTTTTGACATTTTAATGTACAGTCTGGAGCACTGAACAACATCTGTGTCACTATAAATGGAATTCTCATTGTCTCATAATTAATTTTGGTCTGATGATCCTTATAATATAATGGCAGCAGCATCACCACCCCAAAACGCCTCCTATCACAATTTTCTTAGCTATGGTAGTGAAAAGTAAGAGAAAAGAACATGCAAAGTGCCTGCAGAGAACAAAAAATAAACATATGGCTCAGTTCAAACATTGCTTTGATCACTGTTGCATTCCAAAGAGGTCCAGTGTAAACATGCAGCACCAATACAGAAGAATTCTGAGAAGCAAATACTTACCTTGAAACAGTGGGATTAGGATTTGTTAGGATTGTTTTGGCAAAGCCTCGGGGCTGTTGACATTAAGTGTCACTGATAAAGGAAGCTAAAACTGGGAACCGCCAATTCTCTTTGCTGTGGGAGAAACACCACGCTGCAAATGGATGCAGAGTAATGAACGGCTGCTATTAAGTGGAGCAATCCCCCTGGCAGCTCATTATGCAGGAAGGTTAAACAAATGTACTACTCCAATCCAGTTGCTTAACACAGCAGCACTGACAGCACGGGCTGCACATGCTTCCCATTCCCAGTTTCAGAACAGAATCCGAAGGATTTCCTTTCCGCTTTCACGAGAAATAAAGAATCCAAATCTTCCTTAGCAATTTGCCTGAATAAACGGGAGCGGGCTTAAAGCAGAAGGAGGAAGAGATTGCACGGAGCAAGCAGCATCATGTGTTATTTATCTTCTTTTTTTCAGGTCAAAGGAAAAGGGTTTTGTAAAATTTACATTCTGGGAAATGTACCTAATTGCATTAAGCATGAAGGCATTTGTGCCATGAGCAGTTCAATTCTGCAAAGTAAAAAACACTCTGTTACTTGAGAAATTTATAGTACCCCAAACTCCTGGCTGTTTTTGCCTTCATCACTAATTCCTCTAAAATTAATAGTAATTAAGGGGGGAAAATAGCAGCAAGAAATCCATTTTGGTTCCAAGCTCAGATTTGAAGTTCTAGGGTTGGATATTAATTATTACTTTCAGTCACTAAGTAATCACAACATGCTCTGTGCAATACAACCATCAAATAAAATCTGTGCCAAATAAAATCTGTGCTCTGTCCTCCAGCCCCCTTTGCACAAATTTAATGAGTTTTTCATTAAAAAAAAAAGAGAAGTTCCACCATGAACTATCACCATATTTTTCTTTCACGAAATGCTACCACAGCATATACTTGGAATAAAAGAGAAGCCTCTCAGAGTGCTCTGAAGAGCACACCAGGGATAGCATGGAATACTTCCTAGGATTTCCCCATTTCAGGTACTTTATGGTGCTTGAGACAAACAGAGCTCTTGAACTAAGAAGCTGGAACTTGTTCTGAATCAAAAAGAATACAATAAATTTAATGCACTACACACCATTTCCACATGTTTACATTTTCTTTACTAACCTTGGTTACCCTGCCTCAAAAATTATTTATTGAAACCACAAAATATGGGGCAAATGGTCAAACACACCAAAGTACAGAATGGCTTTCACCCAACTCTAGAGAGACAAGCAGTCCCTTTTAAGCTTCAAAAATAAACTTTCAAGAAAAAATTCAGTGTATACCTATAAAACACAGATATTATGAATGGGGTGAACACAGAGTGATTATTCACTGTTTTTCCTAACACAAAAACTAGAAGGTATCAGGCAAGAGACTCAAGGTAAACAAACAGAGGAACTTTCCATGCAGTGCAAAACTCAGTTGGAGTAGAATGCTGAGGAGTATTCTGTACTAGTATTAAAATGGATTCAAAATAGTGAATTAGACAAATTCACAGGCAAGGGGTCTATAAAAAGCTCTAAACCACAATTGTCTGGGTACAACCTCCATGTCAGAAAACCCTTGAGTGCTGGCTTTCAGAACCTGGGACAGTGGACCCCCGGTTTATATTTGTCTGTTGCTGATGTCCTTCCCTAAGGATCTGCTGTTGACTATATTTATATAGGATCAGGTGCAGCTGCTCAGTGATAACTCACTAAGGCAGTGCACAGATCCAGAGATTCACTTTAAGCAGAAGATGAACTAACAGAGGTAAGGGTCTTGCTCCAAAGTACAGAAGGGAGTGCACTTTATGGAGTGTGAGGAGGAGAGATGCCCAACCCTACATCAACACCAATGGCTGTTGCGTGGTGCCTGAGGCTCAAATTGCAAATTTGTGCTCTAGATGTACAGTAACCATGACATTTCTTCAAATGCTAGATGCAGCCTATAGACCTCTTGCTCATCACAGCCAGAAATGACAATTAGGTACATGCTAACAAAAGACACTGTATTCCTGTTATTACTCCTGAAAACACAATTAGGCCCAAAAGATCATATTATTCTTACCTTTATTCCAGAATAGGTGACCTCTCTAGTCCTGTGCACAATTAATAACTAGATATCATACTATCTACTACTACTAGATATTTTACTACATAAAAGCAGAAAAATCATACTGTTGCAGGAGGCTGGTAACCCTTTCCACAAAACCGTTAAAACTAATTGAGTACTCATTCCTTCACACTGCAAATTATCAATTCCACAGCTTGTGTAAAATCTGTTTGCTAGAGTTTGGCACAATTTCTTGGAAAAGTAGTGCAGGTAACACAAAAGTTAATCAGAAATTTGTTCTCTGTCTTGCTGGCATTCTTACTGGAGAGGTTGGGTATTTGGCAGGCATGGATACAGAACAACTCCACAACCCAGACCAGAGGTCCTGGCTATGTGAGTGAAGTATTCTGACAGAGGAATACACAATATATTCATTTTCCACATCAACAGAAATCTTTCATTCCTGGTGTGGGATTCTTAAAAAGGTGCTAATCAAGCCCAGAATTATGCAAAGTGCAGCACTTAGATTATTTGATGTAAGTTAAGCATAGAAACATTTATTACACACAAAAAAAATTAATTCACAGAGAAACAGTTAGAGGAATACACAGAAAGACAGAAAGACTGACAAAATAACACCATTAATGTTCCAAAATGAGCAAAACAAATGAAAACTATCCCAAACTGTTTTGATCATGAGCTATTAAGAGCATCTTCTCTGTACTGCTTTACAAATAAATATAAATCTGTATGCAGACAATTCATCTAGTCAATATTATCAGTCAATAATATCAAATTCATACCATAAACACATTTCAAAATTAATGCACAGAGGTTTAATAATTACATGAGCAATCAAGCCTCACCCCCCTCCAAAATAAAGGAAACCACTGAGCTAAAGAAAGCTTTTATTTCTGACCTTTTTGGACAGATCTTGGCAACCAAATCACTAAACAGTTAATTCAGGTGCACACTGCTTTCTCTTTAATGAAAGAATCTCAGCAGACAGGGAATTCTGTACTCCACTAGGAATACTATGCCTAGCTGAAGGCTGCCAGAGTTCAGCAGATATGCAGCACAAGGCCAAGAAGTCCAACAGCAATTTTTCTCCAAAAGACAGAACAGTTCTTCCTCAGGCAGCAGGTTTATCTAGCTATTTTCTCCACCATACTTTTCAAGTATTTCAGACTTGTCCACATTCACTTCCTCCATGTCTTCCAAGATGATCTTGAGAGAGATGAAATGTTCTGAATATAGCCCATGTGAGAACACGTGGACAAACACCTACGCAGAAATTTTTGTCTGGAGATGAGTGTGAAAAGATTTAATCAGGTGAACCAGATGAGAATGAACAGACACGTTCCCTTGTTCTTAAACAGGAACCAATCTCCCATTTAAACTCAGATTTAATCCAATTGTAAAGCAAAAGCACTCAGATATTTCTAATGAGCATTCATGAAGAAGATATTTCCAGGGTTTACTTGTTGTGCTTTTTCCCTTCATCATTTCTAATTTGCCATTTCCAGAGCTGGCAGTATCTTCACCCACCCAGATGTCTTCATCCCAAACAGCTCATTAGAAGAGAGCAACACAAGCACAGATGGGGTTCTGTAGCTGTTGAACGTTTTCCCTTTTTGAAAGAGGTACCAGGCACTTCAAAAAGCCAGACACCCCTGTGCTTTCTGCACAAGAGCATCATTTCTCAGCACCATTAGACAAAAATCCTTTTTTGTCTTCCCTAGAAGTACCCTCCTTTTGCCACCGTCTCAGCTTCTACAGCAACAAATCAGCCTTTCCTCGTTTATTACTCCTGCTTTTCCCATCAGACTACACCAGTCTCTCTCTCTCTCTCTCTCTCGCACATCTGCTTCTATTTTCTTTCCTCTTTCTGATGTTTCTTGCTTAAGCTTTTGGGAATAACCTTCCATTATAGGTCCATAAAACAGATTTCTTTGTGGCTTTCAAATCTGATTTGCACTCTGCTTCCAGGCCCACATCTCTGCAGCTCCCAAAGGGATCTCCAACAATTCTCTGGATGGGTATTGCATCATAAATATGTTGCATCAACAAAACTACATACAAAAGAAGGAAAAAATAACTTGCTTTTTGAGGATAGAAACGAAAGACAAGTAGTCCCACAATATTCCACAGACAAATTCCAAGGGAAAAAAGCTATGAAAGTCTTCTACATGATACACAAAATGAGTCATGCACTGAAGTAACAAACAGATATGAAAAACCAGAATATGATGTGTTGCTTGGGGTTTTCTAAACAAACTGTACAGAGAAGTAAAAGGCAGATTCTCTGCTTCAAAAGCACAGGTGATATCCAGAGCCAGCAAGGACCTACTGATAACCAGTGGTCTTCCTGGCTGTGTTCATGCTAATTCTTCAATGGTCAGAGCCTCACAGTAGGTGGGAAGACAAAAGCCTGGCTCTCTGGTGTACTCAAATATTCTAGATATATAGAAATTGTGATTTGTCTGCTTATACATGAACAATGAGAAGTATAACAGAATTTCAGGCACCCACCTCCTGCAGTAATTAGTGGTGCTGTTTCTGGGGCAACTCTTTTGAAGACTGCTTCTCAGGCCTGATTTCATCAGCACCTCTAACTCCTGCTTTATTTATTTTTTTTCAAATTAACTGCTTCTAGTATGGCAGTTAGCGAGTCTTAGTAATTAAATCCCTAGACACAGAAGCTAGGCAGAATTAAAGCAGTGAAGAAATAGAGCATCTATTTATTTGCCAGTCCACGTCTAACAATCGTTCCAGCCAGACCTAAACACTACCAGCCTCTAGAAGAGCTGCTCATCCTGGCACCTTACTGGGAGATGCACACGAGGTTAGGGCTGTGACTGTCTTCCAAAACTTACAAGCCACTTGGCTGACTTTTACTGCATTTTAATTTTTTCCACCGGGTTGCAAACTCCAATGCCACATTCAATATTATCAAATCATGTTTTCCCTTTCATATTTTTTTAACAAGTTCTTTATACCTTTCTCACTGGATGGAAAGTTGATTGCTGCAGTGTGCTCTCAGGGGAGTGGTTCCTGCCACTGGGTTCTTCTTCCAATGATTGTGACAGGGAGGGACTGTCATTTTTGTCAGGAGGAACGACAGGCTTCTGGGCATCAGCTTCTGCAGAGCTCTCACAGACCTACAAATCACAAATGAGGATTTGTCTTTTCAACATCTCAGGAAGAAAAACAGTAACAAAAGTGCATCAACTCACAGCATACACATAATGAAAAGCCCAAAAAGCCTCTAAAACAGAGATGTTCAAGGCAACCTTAAGCAGAGAGATAAATGGAAAAAGTTTTCTCTCAAGCATTAATGAATTCTTAAAAAACAAAAAAACTACACAAAGCTGCAGAAATGTACAGCTACACCAAAAGGCTGCAGCCTGCCCTTGCAGGTAATCTACTTTGAGAACTGTTCAAAGTGGCAACTCCACAGAACTTACACATGGCAAGTCTGAGCCACCTTTCCACCATTTTAAATGGCTTTCCAAGCCACTTTATTCTGCAGCTGATCTGCCTTGCAGTTTGGATGCTCACCACCAAGGACGGTTCCTATTTCAAAAGCAGGCTCCTCTTTCCAAAAACAGGTGGGAAAGGGAAGAGATTGGCCCTGCAAAATTGTAGCACAACAGCATATGTGGAAAATTATGATAATCTTAAATGACATGATGCAGCAGCAAGAGAATGGGAAATAACCCTCAGACCAAGAAATTGTCTTCGCTCTCTTCAATAATAATTCAGAACCTAATGCTTTTTAAGGACTCAGGGCTTAATGCTTCGGGTAAAAACGGGAGTTGAAATGCAGAGTGAAATTACTGCAATCCTCCAGTCAATGTTTACAAAGGAGGAGTGATGGTGCTTTTATTTTCCCACGTTGCTGCTCACCTTGTCTATTGAGAGATTGAAGTCGTTGGGATCCAGGGTGGTTATGCAGAAAATTTTTGAAAAAAAAGAAAAAGAAAAACTTTATAGAAAATTTTGGCCCAATCTGCATGAGGCATGAAGCCTCTCTGCTGCACACATAGACAAGATAACAGAAAATTCAGAGAAACACATGAAATCTCAAAGGTGTGTCCAATTTCTCAGCTTACACTGACTAAATGCAGTAGGAAATTACTTTGAGAACATACTTGTGCTTCATCTTGGACTTGTTGCTGTGCTGGGGCTGGCTGCCTCACTATGTAGTTGATCTGACCAACTATAGTCTGCTGAACGTTCTGAGGTGGCTTGGCTTGGTTCAGCTGCAGGCTGGACTGTCCCTGGGCCTGCAGGAGAAGCTCCAGATCCTTCTTCATCTCCTCCAGCTCCAGCTGGTGGTGCATGAGGTCCAGGCTCTGCTGGATGACCTGCTTGTGGGAGCTCTCGTCGTGCCCCAGCTGGGGGGACGCCAGTGGCAGCTGCTGCTGCTGCGGGGGTGGCTGCAGCACGGGGCTGGATTTCATCTTCTGGACATGGCCCAGCTGCACTCCCACAGCTGATGTCTGCAGAGAAGCCTGTGGGTGGCTCGTGGGAGCCTGCTGAGCCTCGTGGGACACAGCAGCACAGCCCTGCTGCAGCTGCTGGGGTGGGAAGGGCTTTGCCACCCTCCCGGATATGTTCTCCAGCTCCGAGCGTGGCTGCTGCTCCAGCCCAGCCTGCGGGAGCTTCACGGGCTGGGGGACACCCCGTGGCTCCCTGTCCTGCAGGCTGAACTGCAGAGGGAAGTGCTGCTGATGAAGTGCAGGAGGCTGCTGGAAGCTCTTGTGGTGGTGGCTCATGTCTTGGTAAGAAGGCTGGGCTTTGCTTGGGTGAGGAATGCTGAGGCAGTGGGAGCAGCAGACGGGTGCAGAGCACTGGAGCGCAGGTGGGAACTGGGGAGGCTGGCTGCTCTCCAGCTGGGAGGCTGGGGAGGGGTGACCATGGTACAGAGAGGGTTGTAACCCTTGAATATTTCCACAGAGTAGCACATCTGGGTGAGATATGTGTCCACCTTCCATTGTGAAACCCCCTGGAAAAAAACCAGCAAATTTACTCCCACCTTGTATTCCCGCCCTCCCGCAGTCTTGACAAATGTATACAATAAAAATTACACACAGGGAAATGGCCATCATTCACATGTCAAATGTAAAAGATATTCAAATAGCCTATCCAAACAGTCTTCCAACATCCATTCAAGAAAAATTTTGCAATATTTATCTAGTTATTTCAATTCAAACTCCCACTGATGTCAATTGAACTCAGTTAAATTACCCAGCAAACACTCTGAAACATTGACCTTGTTTTATCTTAACTGATGGATATGGCTTATACTTTCATTTTTTACAGCAGTATGATCTTATCTTCTCATCCATCAGCACAGGCACAAAAGACAGCTTCCAGGGGGTGACAAAAACAAAAGAGATGAATGCTATGTAGGTGAGACTCATGAAAGCTAGAAATAGAAATGACTTATGAAATTATCTTGTCCATGCTTTTCACCAATACATTACTCCCTGCAACACTTTTGATAGTGTTTCACCCCTTTCAGGTTTTAATACCTTCAAATGGAAGAGAACTGGTCTCTTAGATCAATGATCAGCCCACTGAGCTGAATTTACAGTAAAAGCACATTGCAGATGGGAAAATCTGCGGCTGCTGGGAAACAAAATCACAGTATGGACATCTGCTATATAGGTAACACTGTAATTATTGTACAGACAGTGTCAAAGCCGTCTTTGTGCCTATCAATTGCAAGTGTCTCAACAGCGCTCAGCTCATGTGGCCACTAAGAGAATGAAAGCACCAGACATCTCAATGGTCTTTTGGTGAGTGGATATAAATGGAGAGAAAAACAGGCAAGTTCAGCCACACTCGGTTTTCTTTGGAACATAGCAAGAGTTTCAAAACTGGATGTCAAAACAAAAAAGGAGAGCCCTTTAGGGGAGGCAGTGTATTGCCTGCATCTGTCTAGCCTAGCTTTGGGCATTTGCCTACTATAATTTTCTTACCCAAATTGGAGAGTTGCTTAGTCCAGTAGGAGGGATCCCAAGCAAACCTGATCTTCAGAGGAGGGCCCGTGTCTGTGTTACAGTTTGTCTCCAGCAAGCGCTGGATCTGAAACACAATCTGGTGACATATTAAAGGACAATGATTTTATTCACAGTTCTAAGATGGTGACAAATGTTTCATTTGATCAACATCAAATCCTTAAAACAGTTCCCACAATTACTGCACAACAAGCATTGCTCTTACCAGTTCCTTACTGAAGAGAAATGGGATGGTTTTTTTACTACACACGGCCCAGCTGATGAAGTTCTGGACGTGCTCTACCTGCCTGCCCAAAACCACAACTCCTTGCAATTGCTGCTCCAGCTTCTGCTTCCTCTCACTGGTGATCTTCTGTTAATGACATCAATCAGTAGAAAAGGGCTGTCATTCTTCAGACACACATAACAGATGCAATCATTGGCACTAGACTGCAATATTTGCAGCAATACTGTTCTTCACAATCTCTTTAAACCACCCATCACAGAAAGGAAGCGAGCCCAACTCAGGAGATGAGTCTGAATTCAGGAGGAGCAATGACTTCTCCAGGAGCAAAAAGTCTCCATCATTCTGGCCTTGGTTTGACAGAATAACACAACCCCCAGGAAAGCTGTAGAAGTTGGATCAAATTGACACCTGGGCCACTTTCTCATCTGGGAATTCTGATCAGAAATTTTTCTCATCAGCACATTTCAAAATAAAATCTCATATACTTCAACTGGACATCCAAAAACTGAAGAGTCAAAACTCAAAAGTTCTGTTACAGAAATTAGACTAAAGAATCATTTCTGAAACAATTCTGGGGATTAATTGTGCTGCTAGTGGGCGCCTATAAACATTAAAATCAGAAGCTGGTTTGTTTTCTAAGTACTCAAAAGGTGCACACATATTCTCTGTAAATGCATTAGAAACTGTGGTTAACTCATGATAAGGAAACATTTTGCCACTTTGCCCTGAATCTTTGCCATCCATTGATTCCACACCAAAGTCTGCAGAAAAAACCCAAATATTAGAAAATATAAGGAATGGGACAATAGCTCCCACAGTCTATATTCTTTCCACTGGCACTGGGATTAAATTTAATTTAGTTTGATTTCCCAAGGTATCAAATGAAACTAGCCTTACTTACTTCCAGTTGTTCAAGGAGGATATTTGTTCGTTTATCGATTTCATTCATCAGAACCATCTTGGCCATTTTTATTTGGTTTTCCACCTTTTTGTACAGATGTTTTACTTCAAGCAACCTATGGGTAAGAGGTACATATCCCTGATGTGTCATTTATTCACTGCTCAGCAGTTATTTACTACAAGAATTGCTCTGGGTACAGACAGAACTGCAGTGAAAATTGTATCATTTCCCATCAGTTCTCCCCACTTCTCTGAACCCTTGCCACCCTTCTCTGGATGTGACATGCTAATGCTGAAGGATTCTCTCAAACATCATGCCAAGAACAGCATTTAGCTCTTTTTCAACAAATATATACATAATATATCCTAAACTTCCAGTTTATTCTAGATTATAAACAGTATAAATAGATGTGTACTCTTTAAATGGTTTTATTAATGCAGAAGAGAGATCCAACAGCTACTCAATGCATAATCAGTAGCTGAAATCTGGTTCAAATCATTAAATATTTTCATTTTTATATTCATCTTGACTGAAATTGCACCTTGTTTTGAGGTTTCTTGGAAAAAATAAGGTATTTTAAGAGTTATCTTTAGTTGTAATATTGTCAAATTATAGCTTAGAAACAGATTATACAAAGAAATCTTAACTCTGAAGTCAGCTGTCACGTGCCTTACAAAGAGTATGGAATCATATATTATAATGCCATGACTTGTCAGCACCACTTAAACATAAATTTGATATTTTCAATCTTCCTGTTCTTTTCTACCCTCCAAGAAAAAAAAAATAGAAGCTGCATTTAATTCTGTTAACCTACATTTAGTGAAAATATTATTTTTACAGATCACCTACTTCCATGGAAAAAAAAAGAAAGCATAGCAATTACCTGTCTTCAATCTGTTTAGCTGAAACCCGAATCCCATTTTTTTTCTCTTCCACCTTAGTTATGACATTCTCCAGGATAATTCTCTGATTTTGCAGTGCTTCATCAAGATGCCTGAACCTGCGAAAGAAGGGGAAATTGTCACACCGTGGTTCTCACAGAAACAGGTGAGAGCAGGGAGGGTTTCTGCCAGGGCAGTGAGGTGTGTGTTAAAGCACCTGTGAGACAACTGAGCTGAGTTTGGTGCAGCTTTTAAACCCAGAGCAGCCTGCAGCTTCAGATGGCAAGGACAGTGGAAAGAGGGAAGGCACAACACAGGCGGAAAGAGGGAAGGGGCACAGGCGGAAGGAGCTGACTGCTGGTGAGCCCCAGTGGCAGTGAGGTACCTGTGCTCCTTGTGCTCTGACAGGAGGCAGCTGCGGCAGGTGAGGGTGTCACAGGTCTCACAGCACAGCACAGGTGGAAAGAGGGAAGGGGCACTGGCAGAAAGAGGGAAGGGGCACAACACAGGGGGAAAGAGGGAAGGGGCACAGGCAGAAGGAGCTGAGTGCTGGTGAGCCCCAGTGGCAGTGAGGTACCTGTGCTCCTTGTGCTCTGACAGGAGGCAGCTGCGGCAGGTGAGGGTGTCACAGGTCTCACAAAACACCTTCAGTGCCTCTTGGGGGTGCGCTGGACAGAACAAGGAAAACTCCCTTGCTTCATCTTCCGCTGCTGAGGAATGCAAAGCAAGGCTGTCATCCACAAGGAGAGCTCAGAAAAAGAGTAACCAACCTCGCAGTTCCATGTCAAGTCTCGATGACATTTTTTAAGGGCAGAGAACCTGGAACCATCTGATGATCTGAGGCTGGGTTTGTTTGCATTTCTTCCTTACACATCCTACAAACCGAGTGCTCCAGGAACAAGCCATGGAAAAAAATCATACTATCCTCCAAACTCTCCTGAGTTTAAAGTAGGATTTGGAGCACATGCCTCACAACTTTAAAAGCCCTGGTCTAGTAAACCACTCAACAAAATTACTGTAAAATGTAGAATAGCAAATATATTAAATAAACTTGCAGTCACAGCAGAAGCAAGGAAATCCTTTGCTCTTAAAAAGTCACATGAGCAACTGTTTTTCCCAAATTTCTATTTGTTGCAATGCAGTTCATAAGCTTCAGCAGCTGGGGCTGATATTAGGCCCTAAAGTCCGTTCTTAAAAGGATTTTCTAAAGAGTAATGTGATAAAGAGTAAGAATGGACATTGGGCATGCAAAGTGGAAGCATTATTTCTGCACAAAATATACATGTCAGATTTTTTTCTGAATAGTAAAATTGTTTTAGAAAGAAGGAACACTGTCAACAAAAGATGCCAGAAAAAGACAAAGATAAACCATGGCAAAGCCAACCCTCTACCACCAAAGAAAGGCTCGATTGCTTCCTGGCAGTACTCCAACGAAGACATTGTCTCACTACTCTTTACCAACATGTGAGAAATTAAGCAAAGCAAGCATTCTTAGATAACACATATTGATAAAAAATGTAAATTATATAAAGGCAATAATTTATACATGATTATCTGCTCATATGAGATAAGAAGAAATATTTCCATTTTCCCACACCAAACCTCTTATTTACTGATACATTTTTAAAAAAAACCAACCTGGGGCAGAGACCACACTCTCATCCTGTAGCAAAATGAAGCTTTTTAGAGATTCAGAAGTGATCACTATTGCAATTACACAGACCCACAGAGGACAGCAAGCTATACTGGCTCAGCCACTTCGTTTTCAAATTGTAAAATTCACAACAGAGAAGTACAAAGGCTAAGAAAATCTCATGGCTAACCATGACAATGCAAATATGGAAAAAACCCATGCCATTCTCTAAAATATACATGTCAAATGGCCCAGTTTTTAGATTGCCATCTCCTCTAAATATTTCTGAGGAGCTTGATTTATTTCCATCAGTTAATTGACTTTTGTTCCACCTTCTTAACAATGTGCAAGAAGATAATTTGTGACAGATTAGGGACTTTATGTAACAGCTTACATAGCTTACATTGCTATGAATTATTTACTGCAGCACCCTGCTTTATTCTTCAAGGAAGCTTATTGGTTTATGCCATTATTGAATCAAATGCTAATAGATAGCATTAATAAAGGAGGAAATTAGATTAGTTTTTTTTTAACCTACTCCAATATTTTCTACTAGAAAGGATCAAAATGAATTCACCTTGACAGCAATTTTTTTTCTGATTACATTGCAAATATGTACTTTTTATTAAAAACCTGCAGCTGACAAGCACATAACAAGGTTGTACAGCCAGTATATACCCAAGGAGGATGTCAAAGAACATCGCCTATGTGATCAGATTTTACATCCTAAAAGGAAAAAAAAGATCACAATAACTTTCTGAAGGTTTATGGGCTGGAAAAGCCTTTCAAAGTGTTCAGTATCCGCACAGCATATAAACTGTTTTTCAGTAAACTCAAGAACAAGTTTTCTATCTTAAACTCAAACTGATAATGAGATGTGGTCTTTAAGGTCCATGTAGTTAATATGATGAAGTTACAATCCTATATAATGATTTCCCCCTTTTCCTCTCTCTGAAGGGTTCTTTAGCCTTTGGGTGATTGCAATCATCCCAGAGAATTCACTGGAGTGTTTTAATACCATGTCAGATTTAAGAGACAAGCAGCTTTCAAATGCAAGCTAAGAATAAAATCAGTATTATCTAATTGCAACACAGACCTACACCCTCTGCCACCAATAATCCCCTGAATCAATTGACATATCAGTGAGAACTGCCACTGAGCCATGGTATTCTTGACCTACTTTTTACTCAGCTCAGAACAACACTTTTCAGTTTTGAAATAAGTTTAATACTTAGAAATCAGGTACTAAACAAGTGCACAACCTTGTTTTTTTTCTAGAAGCAAATATCTAACCACAATACCCATTTTAGCTTCTTAAAAAGAGCCTCCCTTGGTGAGCACAGAAAGCTCAGCTGCCCTAAATTCTGATAGTTCATCATTTGAGTCAACATTTTCTACAGCCTATATTTTCTTTATCTCAGGTGTATCTCTTGAATAATTAACAGAAAGTTTTAAATCTCTGCTCCTCTGATCCGTTGATGTGAATTTTAGAAAAGCAATCTCAGCTAATAGAGTTCTCCCTCCATTTCCATAATTCTCAATGACTCAGACTCCTCTCAAGAAAAGCTCAAGAACTATTTTATTAAAATTAATAGAAATGGGATGGATTTTATGTGTGTGGTGAGGGTGTTTTGCTACTTTACTTCATTTCTGAATCTAACACTGCCAGAAGAAGGTCTGGCCCTTACAAGGGAAGTGGCAAAAGAGAGAACAGTTTAAAAGTGCAAGACCTCTTAATAGTTTCAAGAGCTTACAAAGAAGGTGCTGTTTTCAGAACACCCTACACCAAACACATTAAATCCTTCCTGACTGACAATGCTGTGTGTTTGTTTCCAGAAGGAAAAAACAACAAACAACAATCTGAGTTCTAGTATATCCCAATATTTACTTTCTTTGCGCTGTTCTGAAGGCACATCTGTCATGAATAGATAAAACATACATTAATAATAATAAAAATAATACAAAAACACAAATTACATTCCAAATAACTTCTATATTAACTGGTCTATAGATGAACCACCAAGCTCCTTGTTCATGTTTTGTTCAACACAGGGAATTTAGTGCTAAACTAACATTCTTCCTCATGTTTTTATGTGTCTGCATCTTTTTATTTATATAGCACACACAGACTCGCAGCTAAGCCACACATATGATTTCTTACCAGTATTTGTCAACAATATGAGCTGTTAATCTTAGCTGAAGTGACATGAAATTATAAACAGTTGGAGCCTCAAAACCACAGTCCTTATCTTGTTATCAACTCTAGAAGAAAAACATACTGTCCATCCAATCAGGACAGTTGAGGGGAAACTGGGGGACTTTCTATTATTTGGGACTTTCTATTAAAAGACCCAAAAACCATTTAAATGTAATTTGTGGTTTTTATTATTACCATTCTTATGGGCTTCTTTTGTTTACACTCTATTTGGCAATGGCGTATTTTGTCTCAAGTGACTCAAACTCTGTTTGATATGACTACCCAGTCAAAAAATTCCATCTATAGCAAGTCAAGTCTCCTACAAAAAAAAAAAAAAAAAAGGAAAATAAAAATAAAAATAATCAGTGGACTTTTTTTTTATTTTTTTTTCTGTCCTTCATCTTCCTTATGAAGAATAAGCATGTAGCACAAGTTCTTATTTTTAGTTAAAAATTGCTTGTATAAGTTTAGGTTAGCAGACTCTGCAGCACATTTCTGACACATAGTAAAGAAAACAATGACTAATAAAAGGAGATGGTAATACTTTCTCTAGATCACCATTGTATAAGGATGATACACGTATTTGCCAGTGGGCTTAATTTGTGCTTGCTCAAGCACAAATGGAAAGGAACATCCTGTAGTGATCACAGCCTCCTGCTGCCTGTGGCTCTCTCACACACCTTGTCCATATGCACAGGAATTGCTTTGTCATGGTTTCCTCAAGGAAATTCCCCAAATTGGGACAGAAATACTGAAAGGGCAAGGCCTGCTGCTGTTGCAGCCCTCCTGACCCATCACTCCATAGATTGGAAAGGCATGTGGAAAAGAGCCTATCCGTCAAACACAAGTATCCTAACTTTTTCCTAACACCATGGAATGCTGATTGTGGCGATGGACCTGAAGTTGGAGAAAAGGATGACCTAATCTCTTGTTGACATGTACATGTCCTTCTGAGTCACACAGAGCCTGCAACTGACACGAGGAGAAAGAAAATCCCAGTGTGCCCCCAGTACCTGTGCAGCTTGTCAGGGATAAAGACAGGAAGTGGTCTCCAGGCTCCTGGCCGTGTCTGTGCTCCTCCGTGCATGAGCTGCACAACCACTTATTGCATCTTGTGCAGAGACTGTGGGCAGGCCTCTTCTCTTTGCACATGGAGCAGCTCTAAGAACAAAAAGTGCAATTACACACACGCGTGACAAATCAGCTATACAAACTGCTGTCCTTAACAGACTATGATTCAGGTTGGCGAGCTTGATATTTGTTGTCCTCAGACTACAGCAATTCAAGTTATTTTAAGAGTCTGGTTGTAACTGTGTAACATTCAGGAAAAAACATAAAACATACTAAAGGTGAGACAATCTAGAAAACAACGTGGGGAGACCCACGTACTGTTAATGAAAAACTTAGTTCCTGTCCTCTAAAGAGTTGACCAGAAATGAGCTCAGTTTATACCTTGATTCTTGATGTCTCACATGTGGTGAACACAAGGCACAGGAACATGAGAAGACCTGGAAACCTTAATTAAGTATTCTATCTATTGATTTAACAATTTAGGGAATGTCCTTTGCTATACAGGCCATGCTGCCTGGACATGTCACTGTGGGGAAATGAACACAGCAGCACAGAAATGAAGTGGGTAATTCAACATTTGGTATCCAGGACGAACTCAAGAGTAATTTCAAGACAGCTACAATGACAATTCTTATAAAAAGGATTTGCTTTAGGCATAAAACACCTTGTTTCAAAACTCCCAATATTCATGTTTTTGGCTCACCACAGCCACAAATAGGTACTCATGGGCAGAGGGAGCACAGTGATGTAAATTTACCATTAGCAAAGCATAAAAAGCAAGGCTTTACCACCATTTTATTAAAATGAAACATTTCCCTCAAGATTACAATATATCTGCTACAACTGTGTACACACACAAATCTCAATATTGCTTCTACTCAGGGCTGCTCAAACAAATGGGAAAAGATGGCAAAATCACTTCCTACGGGGTCCTTTCTGCTGGGCACCAGCTGATCTTCAATTCAACTGTGAGCTGAAATATTTGCATCCCAAGTACTTGATGGGAAACGTGAAGAGAAGGATACAGCAGCCTGTGCCCAGCTCATAACCCAAGTTCTGGTGAGTGTAAGGGAAGGGTTTCTCCTCATGGTGGCTCAGGAAAAAGTCTGAAGGAAGAATTACTGCAGTTCTTAGCAAGTTGTCTCAGTTTTAAATCACAGCTTTAACACTTAGTGGAACATCCATATCCACCTAAATTCTGTGACAAAAGTGAGTCAAGCTCTGACTCACTTCAGCACAGGAAGAAGAATTTTTGTTTTGCTAAAATTAACTTAAATTTTATCATTTCCTTCCATGGGTCTGGCATTTCACAACAGGTCTCTTATCAAGCCATTACTTAAGAGTTTCTAAATATTAATTCTCAAACAGATTGGGCAATTCTTGACAATGAGACAACAAAGCAAAGCTTTAAATGTGTTTAATTGTCTAGAGAGGGAATTGTTTGTGCAAGCCAATATGCTATTTTAGCCATTTGCTTATCAGCAATGCTTTTCAAAACATACATACAATAATTTAAACCAAAAAACCTAATAAAACTCATAAAACCAAAAGGCAAGAATATTTAATGTGGGGACTGTTACATGAAAAGAAGTGACTTGTCTAAAATGTCCCCACCTAGATCCAGCTCAGGAAAAAGTTGAGGAATGCTGTGCCTTCCCTGCCATAACCAGACCTGCTGAAGCACAGGTTTACCTGCAGCAGTTCAGCTGCCAGTCTGACTGGAATTTGTGTTGACACTGTGCTGTGTTAACATCACTTTTGAGTTGCAGAGTGTTCCCAGAGCTGCATTATTTATGACGTGGAAATGGGCTTTTGGGCAGGAGACTCTGAATTGCATATTTCTGGAAACTGCTGCTGCTGGCATGTAGCACGTTCTATCATTCATGCTCCACTCTCTCACAGCCTGAGAGACACCTTGCTGCTTCCAAACACTTTGTTACAAGCCTTGACAGACTCCCACTTGAACACAGAAGGAAAATTAAGAGGATGATGGCAACTCAGATGTGTCTCAGGTGGATGATCTGGTGCTTCTCCTTTTGGTGTCACTGGTGGTGAAACTGGGGCTTTCATTTGGAGTGTGGTGGTCGTGGTTAAAGATAGAAAGCAAGCAAAGCTACATGATTTGATTTAATAAAAAGGAAGCGCAAACTGTGGGGTTCACAAGTAGCTCTGGGGTACTCCTATGCTCCAGTGAGAAATCTGCATTACTGAACTGCTCTTAGGACTCCTGAGGGATTACAGAGCAGAAAAACCTTCTTTTAAGGATGGCTTGAAAAAAATAATCTAATGCTTTTGAAGACATTAGATACTCTCATTTGATTTCCTTTTTACACAGATTCTCATTGAAAAGTAAATGATGCAAGTCACAGTAATTAAGAAGTCCCAGTATAATAAGTGCATTTTAAAAACTCAGCAGTATCTTCTGAATTTTCTTCCTCTCTTTGGAGAGTGCATGTGAATGCACCCCTTCTTGTTTTAGATCAACTTAGGTTGCACTCTGCAAGCAATGTACACCTGAAGATGTCAACACAGTTCACTTGCCTTAATTATTTTTATGTCCCCAGAACACTCTGTGGGTTAGGTTACACATTCTTTACCCTTTAACAATACCCAATTTTCTCTGTTCCTCCTCTCCACCCAAACTAGTGGCAGCTACAAAGCTGTGAGAATAGCCCTGCCTGTTCACTTGGTACTTAACAGAAGTTAAATCCACTTTTGTACAGTGCCAATTCAAGGCAAAAGTAGCAATCCAATACCTCCCTTGGAATCCATTCCCCAGTGGGAAACTGCAATATGATGTGGCTTTTGCATCATTAAAACAGACAATCAGAAAATTGTAGCTGCTCACATGCCCTAATGGGTGATGTTGGTGTAACAATCTAGTCAAGACTCAGCTCCTGTGGCTAACAGGGAGAGAGGGGGCTTCATGCCCTCTACTCAGCTCCAGAGAGGCCACATCCAGAGAATTCTCCTCAGTTCTGGTCTCCACAACTCAAGAGAGATGAGAAGATACTGGAGAGGTCCAGCAGAGGCCACAAAGGGGATGAGGAGTCTGGAGCATCTCTCCAATGAGGAGAGGCTGCAGGAGCTGGGCCTGGTTAGTTGAGAGAAGGCTGAGAGGGATCTCATTAATGCTTATAAATATCTCAAAGGTGGGCTAAGAGCACGGTGCCAGGCCCTTTTCAGTGGTGCCCAGTGACAGGATGAGGAGCAATGGCCATAAGCTGAAACAAAAGAAGTTCCACCTCAACATGAGGAACAACTTTTTTACCCTGAGGGTGGCAGAGCACTGCCCAGGGAGATCACGGAGCCTCCCTCTCTGCAGACATTCAATCCCACCTGAATGTGTGCCTGTGTCACTGCTCTGCGACCCTGCCTTGGTGGGCAGTTGGACTGGATTACTCCAAAGACCCCTTCTAATCCTAACAATTCCACAGTTGTTCACTTTGAGTTGAGAGCTAAGAGGACAATGAGGAATCCAAGACATCCGATACCTTCCTAATATGTTGATTATCACAGATGCATTAGTATCAATACTTTTAATGGACTATTTAAAATACAGGCAGTAAAACTCATTCTTGGAGTTTTAAAATTACTGTGAAGGCAGAGTGTCCATCTCTGGAAATGAAGTAATTACAGTGCTGCATAAGCAAACTATCAGAGAATCTTTGTTGTTCAAAACAAGATTTGTTCTGTTTTCAGTGCTCATCTGGCAGTGTTTCAACAAGCCACAACTTAGTGGCTTTCACTTACCTTTGCCATAGCTGAATCACCAACTGGAAAGTCCTTGAGGAAGAAATTCTCAACTACATCCCTTGCAAAGCAGGTCTGTTTGCACACAGGGCAGGAAAGGATACCTGAATTTAAAAAAAAATTTAAATAAATAAAAGGAAAACCACCAGAAATAAAGCAATGCACACCAGCCATGTGAACCAGGAAATTATATAAACCACCACACTTCAGTATTGTGGCTTTTTTGTATCACACGGGCAGTTCCAGGAAATTAAGGCATCCTTCAAGCCCTAAGTGGCTAAACCTGGTTCAACATAGAGAAAAGAAAAACAAAGCAACAAAGTTCCTAGAAAAACATCATATTTCAGTTGACTTATTTCTGTGTTTAGTGATGATATCTGCATGTCCAAATTCTCACAGAACTTGGTGATGATTAATAATGAGCTGCACTTGAAGTATCCCCTTCTTACAGATTTACTTGTTCTTTCTGAGATTTTCTATGGTTCTGGAGCAGCTTTACCCCACCACAGGTGTACCCAAGCATAGAACACACTCCTTAATACCAGTTTTACAGTGCAGGATGCAATCCAAGTGAAGTGACAGGGGATAATGTGCTGCTGGCAGAAGCAACAAGTCAGCAAAAAGACAAAGGAAAAAAAAACGTTTCATAAGGAAAATTATTATAGTAAATCTAGAGGTGACAAAACATGATCTCCCCCAAAGCAAAGAGAGCAGCAGAACCTGGTTCCACCCTCATTAATAACAGAGCACAGCTGGGGTGAATCTCAGTGTCTGCCTGGGCTGAGAACCAAGAGTTCAAGCAGGTGTCCATAACTGTACACCTGCATTTTTGCACCTCTGATATTTCATTCCTTGATTTCTTGGCCTAGGAGCTCTGTTATATTTGGCTGTGTTGGTTTGGGGTTTTATAAAAGGACACTGCATTTTCCTGGCCACATTCCTGCAGACTACAGTAGATATGAAAACAGTCCTTTAGAGAGGGTGGTGGTGTGTCAGTCTATTTCACCTTATCAAGGTGTATCTTTTATTTTAATCCAAGTTTTTTACATTCTCTTAAACACAGATTTTTCCATGCTACGCTCACCTTGCCAAGTATCTATTTATTATAACTAACAACAGTATTTTCAATTACTAAATGGTTTGAATTCATCTAAAACAAGGTTTTAAAGCAAGATCAATGACAACATTCTACTGTTCAATGTGCTTTTTTTCCTTAACTCAAAATTGTTTGTGCACATGGAGTGTGGCCTGTAAGTTAATTAATCCTTAAGTTGTCTATTACTCTTCACATTACACCATTATCAGAGCCTCTCCTGCTTTCCAGGTGCTTGCTATTACCTGTCCCTGGGGAACAGCCCCTGCAGTCCCTGCCCAGGGGCAGGATGCTAACTCTGAATGCCCCCAGTTTCAGAGCTAGGCTCCTGTAACTTTAACAGCAGCATTCCACATTGACAGGGACACACAGATCCCAAAACATCCCTAAGTTTCTGCTCTGACAAAAACACTACTCAGATGTCTGAACACATTCACTTCCACTCACAAAAGCTTTGAGGAAACTCTGATCTCTGGAACATCCTTTTAAGAGTATCCCTCACTAAGAACCACTCCCCTGCAGTTTAGATCTTTTTTAGCTGAAATCTTATACAAAAGGAAAAGCATAATTTCCCATGTTGCATTTACAACAGAACTGTGATTTGGGGACCCAAGCAGCAGACCACAATCTACCCAAACTATTCATTTTGCTGTGCATTTCACGCAGCCCTGAGAAGGAGCAGGCTGTGCCCCAGGTGACTGTGCTGCTCAGCCACAAGTCACCCCAGGGGAAAGGGCAGCACAAGCAATTCCCAGAGCTCTGCTCATCAGGCATGTAAACCGAGCCTTCTTTAAGGGTGTTTGCTGGCAGGAGTAACAAAGGTGCTAGAAAATTATCTGATAAAGATGTCCACAATGGCAGAAAGCTGAAGTCTTCTTAGCAGATCCTCTACTTTGCATCCTTCCTATAAGGACTGAAGTTTAAAAAGTATCTGAATTACCTACAATTTTTGTAGCTAATCACATTTTCACATGCTACATCCTACCACAACACAATTTTCTTATATTGGTGGCACTGAAACCTCTCCATGCTTTCCCAAAGGACAGAGTGGGAGCCCTTTAGGTGCCTGCTAGCAGCTCTGCCCTCTGGAGACATGCAAAAGCAGGAGGAGGCCAGACAAGCTGTGTCACCCTGACAGTGCCTCCTCCTCCTTGTAAATGGTGCTTACTACAAGCACTGGTGAATTACAGCTCTAATTCCTGGGAGCTGAAACACTCCCCAAGCTTCCCTGCCAGCCCTGTAGAAGTGGCCCAGCTGGAACAGCAGCAGGACTAAAAAGACAGACACATTCTGATTGATAAGCTAGGAAGCAGGATACCTACTCTGCAAGCAGCTTCTCAAATAAGTCTCACGGGATGTGCTCTAATTCTCAGTGCAGCCGGGGGAAACCAGCTCCTGACTTCAGAGCCACCTGGAGCAGCAGGGATTGGAACCAGTTTCTTTCTCCCCTGACAGCATTGCCAGCTCTTGGTGTGGCTAACAGTGAGAGAAAACCTCCATGCTGAGGCTAAGAACGCCCGGCAAATGGACCAAGAGGGAAACAGCCAACAGGTGATTTTGTGAAATCACTCTCTCATTTATGGGTGAGCATCCATAAAACATTTCTGGGAGCAGCTGCTGACTGGGAAACAAAGGCATGGGGCTTTGTCCCAGCAAGGACAGCTTCTATCACACAGCACACAAGGTAAAATAGGTTACTATTGAAGTTACAATTTGTTGTAGTAAAGGGAAAAAATTATAAGAAAAAGGCCTCAAAAATCTGTCATTTCTTCTAAGTCAAGCTAGCAGTTTGCAAGTGCCCATGTGAAAGCAATCCTGGTGGGAGCAGCTCATTAGCACAACAATCTATTCCTGGGCAAAAAAACACCAACCAGCACCTGTATAAACTGTTTTTACATAGATGGAAAAAGGAAAACTAACAAAAAATCAGTTTCTATCTCTCACAAACAACCTTTCCTGCACATACACACCGGGGGTTTGGGTGACCAATAAATACAGGATAACAACTTGTTACTAACCAATAAAGGCATTGGCAAGACAACTGCTAACCAGTGGGAGTCACACACGAGGTCTGTAACACTGTATAAAAAGGAGTTCTGTGAATAAAGAATTGCCTTTTTCCACCACAAAGAAAATGGAGTCCCATGTGATTTATTCCCTTAACTATTTCATTATGTTCCAACACTATTCTGTTAGTGCAGAACGTTAAATCAAATTAAACCAATTGAATGATACTTCATGGAATGCTTATGGCCTCAGGCACGTTCATGTGAGCTTAAAATTTTGCTAATTTGTTACAAACCAGTGAAGGATAGAACACAGCATTATTAGAATGCATTTAGTTTGATAATGAGCAAGACAACCTTTGTAGTGTTTTTAAAACTTAAAAAAACTTCAATAATTTTCATGCTTAGAAAACATAAATCATGCATGGATTTCAGTTCTGCACAAAAGCCTCCCTTATGTATGTGCTGAGAAACACCATCAACAGTTTGAAGGTAAATGACATTACTGCTGATTAATATTAAGGGGCATCTAAAAGTGATGCCCTGGATGGCACAGCACAATTTTCTCCCGGGTTTTAGATCCAAGTTGTGCTACTAAAAACAGTGTTGTTCCAGAGATACACATGGAGCAAGTTGCACAGGTCAGAGCTTTGTTTTAGACCACTAAGTACAGCATCCACTGAGTAAATGTCAGTGTGTCTCAAATATCCAAGTAACTGTAAATTATAATGATTTCAAATCTAAAATTCCCTTGAGATGAACAGAAGGCATGCGGAGCCATCAACTTAATTTAAAAAAAAAAAAATAAAATTTTTTAAAAAGTAGTTAAAAGGAAAAATAATGGGGACACCACAGCAATAGAGTATTGGAAGTCATTTCCTACTCACAGGTGGGCTAATCAAAACCACCTAATACTGAATCCTAGACCTAAAACTTTAATAAAAGCACAGGAGACAAATTTGCATCTTGCTAGAAGAGGGATTGCCTGAGCATGGTGGCTTCGGAGATCACACTTATTCAGCTAATTGGGTTTATTTGATACCTTTTCCACTTAATGAAAACCTGGGCTCTATGGAAACGCCCCATCTTTTTCAATATGAATTCCCCAAAGAATCAAAAGTTAGCTTGGCATAATAAATACGATACAAAATGAACTGTGGAGCAATTAACCTAAAATTAAGCAGGTAATTACATACACATTTACCAACAGCCACAAGCAGCACCACGCTGTGCTCGCGCTCAGAGCGCAAAGCACCAGGAAGGCACAGATTTTCCTGGAAACCCCTTACCTGTGCTCTGGATAAAGAGCCACCCACGGAGTCACCCGTTTTTGGGGACAAGTGGGTGGCAGGAGCTGCTCACACATGAATTCCCTGGGATCAGGCTGTGGTGCACCCTGAAGTCACTACACCTCGCCCTGGGGCTGCTCCCTCTTCTTTGGCCAGGAATTCTGGCAAAGCAGCAGGGAGGAAAGGTGCACTGAGTCACTACAGGGTGCAGAGGTTTTTTCTCCTCTTTCCTTTTCCTCTAGGATTCATTCAGGCCTCTGAAAGCTTGCTTGGTTGCATTTTTCCCAAATAAAATCCCATTGTGCAAATGGACAGCAGTGTCCTACTTCCCTGGGCCTGCGCTCAGCCCTCAGAGTGGAGCAGAAGGGAAGAGAGGAGCTGTTCCCGATCCAGGTAGCAGCAGGCCTCACGGCGCCATTCACTCCCACAGCACCTTTTGCAGGCCATAACCCAAATATTTTTCTTGCCTTCCTACCTTACCTCTGCCTCCAAACAACGCTGCTAATCTGTTCTGAGAGCCTGCACTCTGCAGACAGCTTATTTAAATATATCATGATTAGAGCACTGTGGGTGAAGGCAAGAGTAGCCAGAAGCCCTGGAGACTCACTGTTTGTACGTGGGAGAATGATGCAATTTCTGCATCTGAAAGGCAACTCAGCAAGGAATTACAGGACTCCAACAACAGCTTAGGAGATCAGGTACAATTGTGTGCCTAA